CCTTTCCGATTTCCTAGCTTTTTGCATTAATAAAGCATTTAATAGAAATATCTAAAGGTGGCATTACAAATCAGTACACAGTTTTATTTACAAATCTTCAGACATTTTTACAAATGAATGTCTTTTTTAATTGAACTTAAAGCTGCAGGAGGTAACTTTTATAAAAAGTTTTTGTTAAGGCCCAGTGGATTCATGCAAATGCCATAAGGAGAAAAAACTGTGCGTTGCTGAGAAAAAATCTAATCTAAATGGATAAAAAGCAGTACAGATAACAGGAAAAATATTGTTGATTTTGGGGTGAATTGTCCCTTAAACCACAAGGCTTTTGTTGCCTAAAAGTAGTTACAAGTGGGACTGGCTTTCTGCATTTTGTGCCACCACCATCCACCCTGACCATCTGCCTATGACTCATACATAAATGTAAGGCTTTAAACACTAGAAACAACTTTGCCAAAGAACATAAGAAGTAATGACATTTTCCTACAAAACATAATTGGGAAAACAAATGAGCAGTATATAAATGTAATTTCTAGGAGTCAAAGAAGTAATGTCTCATGATGGTACAATTATTTTGGTGGCAATCTTCTCTTCAGCTACCAAGAAAGGTGCCACCAAAGTGTCAGAGTAGCCCTTTACATCTACATGAGGCCATTTGCATTGAAATGTCTGAGCTCTGAATTCACCTCATCTTTAATGTTAAATAGATGGAACATTCTAATGGACTACTGTTACACCACGCCCTCTGGAAACCCTAACGATGACCTCCGCTATGATCTTTTCTTTAGGTAACTCAAATTTAAAAACAGATCTACAATTTTGTTCAGTTCTTGCATTTCTCTCACTCTAATCCCTACAACACTTTCTGATTTTCTCTCCCTGAGCCAGCTGTGAAAAAGACCCTCAGACCAGTGTCTTTGAAAACGGGAAAAGCCAAATGGGCCGCTTTGCCTTTGAAGTGTTCCGCTTCGTGAAGCACAAGAACCAGAAGATGTCCACCGTCTTCCTGCACTGTGTCACCAAGCTGTGTCGGACAGACGACTGTCCTATGCTCATGCCAGTGAGTCTCATAAAGCACAGCTTCACACGTAACATGACAAACTGTCGGGATCAAATACATGTTTTTTTTTTGTTGAGTATTCCCATTTTGTTTTACTTTATACTACACTATGTATCAGAGGGAAACATGGTACTTTTTATTCCACTACCCTCAACAATTATGATTACTAGTTACATTGCAACTTTTTACATACAAAAAACATATTATCACCTCATTAAATATGATTTTTAGAAATTAAACTACCCAATAATATGTAAAATTGTCAACAACTGCACCACCTCAATCAGCTACATTAAAATTCTTCTTACATCAATAATAATGATCAAATATTATAACACTATATCACTGTTCTGCATGAGTAGGGCAAGTGGGGGAGAACGGGGTTGATTGTCACACTTTTTACTTAATAGATTCCCTTTCAATGTATAATGGGACTTTAATGGGGAATAATGACCAACCTAACACATCAGCTGCATCGAAAGAAAATAAACAGGAAAATCATTCCATTTGTTATCCTCATGTAACAACAGAAAGAACTATACAAAGAACAATAATACTCATTAAATCTCAGTTCCTCACTATAATTGAAATGAGATAAGAAAATAAAGACAATGTGACAAGCATACCCAAGTAATAACCACATGGTGTAGCCTAGCTAAGAAAAAACAAGCTAAAAAACAAATCCAAACTAGCTCTCCCTTTAATGGGAATTTTATAAACCCATTGTGTAAAAGCTTAGAAGACACGGACAGAAAAGCAGGATATTTACACTTTGACAAGAAAGACATTTCAAGTCTGTTGAAAAGTCCTACATTTTTTAAAAGCAAAATCTAGGGAGCAAGATCGAATGAATGTGACAGCCATCCCCAACTGTGATTTTTTGCTAGCTAAGCTAACACCCACATGTTGTAGCCTAGCTACAAAAAAATATCTAAAAAAAAACAGTTAACCAGCTAGCATCAAAACTAGCTCTCCTTTATGGTAATATTTGTTTTGTTATAAACCTATTGTGTGAATTTTATCTTGATTCTTCACAGCATTAATGAATGAATGAATCATTGTACAAAACTAAAACTTAATCACATGTTTCTCATGGCATGTATCTCTCCAAAGTAAAACTCAAAAGTTCAGGAGAATGTCAGATATATTTGATGTCTGATGTTATTACAGGGTCTGTAGCTTAAGTGACTGTATGATTGCCTGCTCACGTTTCCAAACACTGCTTTATTGGGGCCTAATAGACAGCAGCTGAGGACTGCCTGTAATCCATTTAAGTGTTCAGGGCAGAGCAGCTGCATGATATAATCCTTCCTTCACTCAATACACTGTTCCCTCCTCCCGCTTTCATTTTCAATTATAAATGACTCATAGTAGAGTAAATGGAGAATAAAACGTAGTATCATATTGTAGAATAATAATTCAAATTCCAAATCTCCAACCATTCATATATCCCATTTCATATAACAACATAACCCACAACACAGTTTATAAAATGTAAAAGGCAACAATAATATTAACCATGCAGCGTGTGCCTCCTTATGTCAACACATTTGTTTCTGAGAAACCAAGTATACCAACATAAAAGTACATAAAAAACATAAAATTTCTTGGTCCTAATAGTCTTCTCGAATTTTTTATTTTTTTTTCTTCACCCAAGAGGGCTCTGTAATAAAATCACACAGGGAACAATACACATTTAAACTATTTATTTGACAACTCAAAAAAAAAAACTATGCAAATAAATAGCGGGGAGCAACTTAAACCTGGCCGGAAACCCTGATAATGCAATGCTAACCCCAACTTTTAAACTTTACTTGCTAGCTTTGGAATAAGCCTATTCCCCAAGACGTTAGTGAGTAGTCCTCCCTTAAACATGCAATAAGGGCATTTCTCTACCTAATAATAGAACTTAGAAGAGGGCCAGTCTGAGTGTTTTTTCACCAAGAGGTGCAATTAGTGTATTTTGCCAACCAAGCGAGGGCCACTTTAGCACTTATTTTGCCTCCCAATAGGCAACACTTTAAAGCGAATTGTGGCTCCCAAGAGGGCACCTTAGCACGCGTTTTGGCTCCCAAGAGGGCACTTTAGACGCGTTTTGGCTCCCAAGAAGGGCACTTTAGCACACATTTCTGTCGCCAAAAGGGCACTTTAGCACGCGTTTTGGCTCCCCAAAAGGGCACTTTAGCAAACCGTTTGGGCTCCCAAGAGGGCACCTTTAAGCACGCGATTTTTCAACAATTAGGGGCCACCGAGGGGCAGGTTGGCGCCCCCCCCCCCCCCCCCGTGCACGCCACTGTGGTCTACTGTGATATCACGAGAAGTGGACACACATACAGTGGGTGTGTCCCATGGCTGCCACCATAAGTCCATGTCTATTTTTTCATAGATCTGTGGCAGCAGAAGAAAGAGAGATGTCTCAGACGGGGACTCTGGGAATGCTGTCCTGACTGCCGGGCCTATCATCACTCGGAGTGGTACAGTTTGATAGCACTTCTTTTCCTCTGTTTCCCACCAACCAGTCAACCATTATCCAAGCAGCACTGTTACTGCATGAGCAGCCTTTTCTTCCCACCTGAAACATTATACTCCATAATTATTTATGGCCTGATTTTTGTGTAATACAAATTCAAATTATGCAATTTCAAATTCCAGATTTTTAATGCAATTATTCAAGTTGCAGCAATTCCAGATTCAGTTTTAATGATTCAAATTCAGTTCTACCTGATCAGCCCAATAAAAAAGTACAGAGGGCCCTTCACTTGAGACATCCAAAATGGCTGCTATCAATCAGTGACCCACATGTAATTTTTCAAGAATATTTTTGTCAATTTTGAAAAAGTTAAGGTAAGAAACATTTTCAAATTGTTACTGAAACTTCAATAGGAATATTTAATGGATTGATGTAATGTAAAATTAATTAATATTAATATTGATATAAAATTTTATTTTGTATGTTTGAGGAAAATTTTAAAGGAAACTCAAAGTTTAATGAATTAAAAGGTGTTTTATATGTTTTTGTTTGTTTAAGATAAAGAAACTGAGCAACAAATTGCACAAAAATACCAGATGTAGCAAAAATTATATGCTGGTTCCAGTGGTGGATTTGTCATTGCTGCGTGAAAACTTAATTTCAGCAGATGTATGATGTTGTGTTATATGGAAAACATTTATTTAAAACATGTATGTTTGAGGAAGAGTATTGATGTATCAAATATGATACAAATCAGAATTCATATATGCAAATTGATATTTAATTTTTTATTACTATTATTTGTCAGCAGGTTTATTAAACACTCCAGTTTACAAAAAATAGAATTTTCTGGCAATTATTTCATGGTTCAGGCTTTACAGGGTTAATTCTTTAAAATTATTATTTTTTTGCTGTGATTCATAAAAGTCCTACAAGCTGTGTAAGTCTACATTGATTTCAGATTGGATATAATTATTATAAGGTATCCGTGTGTGTCAAACTTGAGGTTTGGGATGTTGACTGATGGTGAGAACTTATCTGGGCGACCTAGATTGCCAGAGAGCCTGAAGGCATCCTGTTGACTTATTTACTGTACAAGAAATGAAGAATACGCATGTAAAGTATACTGTAATGAATACAATGCATTGCTGTTACCCTTAAATGCCCTCTGCCTTTTTTCCACAGATGAAACACCAACCAACAACTCTCAGCTGGGTAAGGCTTCACATTCTTTCCATAGTGTGGACGGGTGCTTTTAAATGTGGTTTTGCTTTTCAGTGATATGGAATCCCCTATGGAGGTTTTTTCTGTTAGAGATAAAAACACAAAATCGGCTGTGGAAACTGTTGAGACATGTGGCTACACATGACAAAATATTTTACAGTCTGATAATTAACTGCTATTTTATACTGGTATATCTTTTTTGTCATATTTGGTGAAACTTCCACTTTATACTGACAATAGTACATGAGACAGAAGAAAAAAATCTGGTTCCTCTGGCTCCTCCTAGTGCTCCCAATGGCATTTGCAAGAATTCACGAGGCCCAGACAAAAACAAGCAATCAGATCGAGAAAGATAGTTTTCTGTATACTAGTATTTGGCAGTATAGGGTAAGGAAAAGTAACTGTAATCAATGTATTAAAAGAACAACGAAACTTATGGTATTTCCTAATAAGTTGTATTTACCTACTGGGTACATACTCTCTAATCATGAATTTGGGTACTTTATCATTAAGGATATTTTTACCATCTAGTTTCCACGTATGTTTTTATGTGTTTACTTGATAATAACTTAAAACTTACCATCCTTTCCATATGGGAACTATACTAATACATAGATTGTATTACTGTCTAGTTTCCTAGTAAATACCAGGTAATTTGCAGACTGTACAATAAAGTGTTACTTAAGAACTTTTATTACAGATATTTATCATGCCTTAATTGGTAGACAAAGCAGATTTTCTTTTTAAAAAAAAATCTGCATGACCTTTGGTATGTTAAATATCAGATGTACATTGGATAATATTATTTAAATTGAAGTTGTTCTGAATCCACTGGTCCTAGTCATTTGATAGAACTCCTTGTAGTTTTGTGTGACAGTAAAAGCCTAGAAACTGTAATCAAATGTGTCTTATCCTCTCCTTCAGTCTTATGTCCTATTATTCTGTGATGAAATTGTTTAATTGCACTTCAATTAGTTATTTTGCTACATAACATTGAAAACTCCCACAGAAACTAGCGATTCACACAGGTGGAGAGAGCAAAAGCAACAGTCATTTTTCACAGCAGCCATTTTGACATGAAATAGTAGGGCTTTCTTTAGTCCTCTAGGACAGTAACCTGAATATCTTTGGGTTGTGGACAAAACCTTGGTCCCTTGGGAAAAGACCGTGATCCAACAGATTTTTCACTATTTCATGGGCCAAACAACTAATCAATTCCAATCAGGAAAATGATCAACACATTAATTGAATATCTATCTATCTATCATATATGCATCTATCTATCTATCTATCTATCTATCTATCTATCTATCTATCTATCTATCTCAACTGACTGTGGATAGTTTGATTTCTGCTGTTTTGGATGGCTGAATCATTTTCTGCTATCTAATGCACTGCGGCTGAGCTGGAATATGTCAGCGTGACATTAAAAGTTGTGTAATCTCTCTCAGGAAAGAGAAAAGCAAACTGCTCAGCACATTACCAGTAGTTATGTCTGTATGGAGGGGGAATTTTTTTGGCATTCAAGTTTAATTTGAGAGTGAGTATTGAAAAGGCGGTAGAAAAATTAACAGATTTGATTGTTTCTTTGTGTTTGTGCCGCTCCAGCCCATCTGAAAGCTCCAGTGTTTCAGATGAACACGGTGACGAGCGCGCTCATCTCGGGCATGATCATCCTGGGCGTCATGAGCGTTTGCTTCTTCATCTTCTCCCTGACCCTCCTCAAAGGCAAGAGTACTCCTGTCAGCACTGTGTCTGGAGTCCGTAACCCAGCCTTCAGCTGAACGCCCAAACCTAGCCCACTACAGACGCTCCCTCACGACTGACAATGCTAAGCGAGGGGCAAACAACACATTTGACAAGATGTTTGTGTGTGTAGTCATTTTACAGGACAATAAAAACTAAAGGTTGATTTAGAATTTTTTTAACAGGCCTGTACAATGTGCATTAGTGTAGACTTTTTATATGCTGTTCTGTACTTTGTGTTTCGACCGTCTGGCAAGCTATAGGTCTCAACCTGCATGTTATTATTGGTCATGCAGCTTTAACTCACAACTTAATTCAATACCTCAGCTATACAGCTTTCATTTGCAGGGTATAGGATCAAGTGCGAGGCTTACAGTACATATTAGTATTACATAATCTGCTGGTAAAACTCACACTTCCTGCTAAGAGGCCGAAATATAAGAACACTTCATTGAGAGAAAGGAAACACTACTATGTAAAATATAAAACATTTGTTTAAGTGATTAAATGAGCTCAGCCTCAGGCTTTGGTGTTAAGCTTCAAGTTTTCTTGACATAAAATCTAACTTTTAAAAGTATATTGATATAATAATTGGAGAAGTGTTTAATTTATTAATATTGATACATATTAGAGGAGTAGTCTTTATATAATGATTGATAAATTGATAGGTCTGTTCTACCAAAATGTGTAGTTCACTCACTCACTTTAAATCTTTTATGCAATGTGGCAGCAATAAACTTGTTTGTTAAGTTTTATTTGTACATGTACCCTATGTAATTGTGTATAACTTCTCCCGAAATGTGTTCTTAAAATGCCATTGATGATCTGAAATGTGCAAATATTGTACAATTGTGCATATTGCTGATTGCACTTTGACTTGTGATTAAAACTGTCATATTTCTAAAAATGCGGTATGAATTTACTTAAACTCCACTTGGGAGTTTCAGCAGGGGGGTGACAATAAGTCAGAGGTTCTAAACAACATGTGTAACATTTAGTGGTAATATAATATTCATAGGTATGTTTTCATTGGTGTGCAATTACCCGAACATAAGAATCATGTTTTCGATACCTTAGAATGAGCCTTATATTTTCCAAATGCCACAGGTCGCCTTCCATGG